CCTGAACCTACAATGCCGGCGCTTCTGACTCACAGCCTGTAAGTATATTTTCATATTTAAAGAATTTGCCACTGATGATTCAAACGCGAGTTTTGAGCAGTGTAGAGTAGTGCTTGTTGTTTGTCGTTTCTCTGATCACAAATGCAGACATGGTTTTATGTTTACACGGCACAATGCAACGCAATGTGTAAAGAGACAGTATAAGTAATTTTATAATGCGTAATTATGTCCCCACTGGATGCAACAAATGCCTCGTTTATAATGGGTTTTAATGTTTTTGTCTCATCGCTCCGGCCGGGACACGGCATCACAGTATGGTAAGGGGCGTAACATTTCCGTCTCACGCTTGAGGTATTCGGCCAATCACAATGCACTGGATAGCTGGCCAATCAGAGCACACCTCGCTTTTCAGACCGATGAGCTTTGTAAAAATCGACACGTTTCAGAAAGGCGGGGCATAGAGGAGCAACAATAATGTACAGTATGTGGAAAATAATGTTTTTTTAACCTTAAACTGCATAAACACATTGCATTACACCAAATACACAAAATAATGTTCTTTTTTAGCACCATCATATGACCCCTTTAAACGATTGTCTAGATGGCAATTTTTCGGTAGAGTCATCATTCAAATGGCTTACTTAGTTATCTTTGCTCATTAAGCGGAAGTCGAAGAAAGTATTTTAATTTAAATTCCAAAACATACAATAGTGAGATTAAATGGAGCATGTTTCATTTCCAATTAATGCCTTTTCCCATCTTTAAGCCCTTAAGTTTTAACCCCTTATCTGTGCACGACTCTTTTGCTCTCTCATACATCATTCTATTCCTCCCGCTCTCTTTTCCAAGAGAGGATCCTGGGTAGAGACAGAGAATAAGCTTCCACTGAGAGATGGCCGATGCCATTATAAGCACAGTCAGCACATTTCATAAAATGATGCGCTTGCAACCCAGATAATGATATGAATAATCATAAACAAGATATGTAACGGTAGCATTCACACATTTATTTATAAAGACGCATGACTATTGACTAATATTTACCAAATAAAGCATGTGCAGAGAAACAGCTGTTTATCTGAGCAATACAGGTTTACAACAGTTGGCTACTGACAAATTGTTCTTTACTTTTAATTATATCTCAAACACACAGGCAAACTGTGACTTGCATCATCACCCCTCGCCCAAGCTGAATGGCAGCGATGGTGTAGAGCAACACTGCATTATTCTATCAATGCAACCCCCATCCCAAATCAGCACACAGTATGTGGCTGGCAGGTGCCCCAGAGAGTTAAATGAGCTTTTGCTGATGCTGCAACACACAATCGGCTGGTACTGCACACATTCATCCAATACACAGCACTACAGGGGCACCTCTTCACCACAAAATCCCTCTTACGTAATCGCACACACATTAGACACAGGTACCAGAGGGGGTGACACGATTCAAATAAGCTTGTTTTTATTTTAGAGGGCGTTTTGTGCTGCTGCTTTTCCAGAACATGCACACATTTGCAGACAGAGGTTTCGCGTGTAACCGGAGAGTGTGCGAGACTCAGCAACTCTGGGCCAATTGTTTTGGTGTACCTTGACTGAAACACAGCCTACGGTGTTTGGGCTAGCACCGTTTGGGGCTCAGTATCTATTTACAGACATCCTTGTGTGTGTGTGTGTGTGTTTGTTTGTAGTTATTAATATATTAATCGCATATGCCTCTAACCAGTGAGGAGTAAATTAACCTAGTTTGGTGGAAGATAATAAGGCCCCGAGTGTGAGACTAGCTAGAGGCCTGTGCAGAGAAACAGCTGTTTATCTGAACAATACAGGTTTACAACAGTTGGCTACTGACAAATTGTTCTTTACTTTTAATTATATCTCAAACACACAGGCAAACTGTGACTTGCATCATCACCCCTCGCCCAAGCTGAATGGCAGCGATGGTGTAGAGTAACACTGCATTATTCTATCAATGCAACCCCCATCCCAAATCAGCACACAGTATGTGGCTGGCAGGTGCCCCGAATAAATAATCAAAGCTTTCAGAATCTTTCATTTTGCCATTCTGCATGATCAGAGCTATAAAATGATACTACACCAGACTCAAAAGCCCTTCTTACTCGTAAAGGTTTGATATTTGAAACCACTATGCTCTGTCCAGAACCAACAGCAGTCAGGTATATTGCTGAATAATGAATGAGAGCAGTGGCATCTGTCTGCCATTGTAACGTTTTCTGTTTTACTGGGTTGCCCACACAGCCAACAGATAATGTAGGGACTCTCATGTACTTCACATATTTGTATGTAGGTGTATGTATGTGTACGAGATTGATATATGAGGCTCCACATTAGTGAAGATTCAGTTCAGTCATGAAACATCAACAATTAGCAGGCCATTTATTAAATTATGTTCATGCTTTTACCTGTTTACCAGACACGCTGTTCACATGGTTAGTGTTTTCTTACTAAATATGAAAAATTCAATAAACAATAGAGAATGCAGCATTATTTGCACTGCAGGGTGACAAATGATTATATTTGAAACAATATTTAAGACGTTTTGCATTTAAAAGTCAGCATCTGAGTGAAAATGAATTTGTCAGGAATTTGTCTTCCTACACTTTAAAACCCTTTAACTGTCACCTTCCCCTCTGTGGGACGCCTAAATTTACTTCACTATATTACAATTAAATCCTAATCTAATCATGACAAACTATATATTGTCGGAAAGGTCTAAGACTCCTAAATAATTTTTTACAAAAACATTGGTAAAATCTCTACAGTATGTAGGAAAAGTAATAGATTAATTTATGACAAGAGAGCACCTCAAAAATCTACATTCTGTGACACCACACTTCTATCACACTTTAGAAATCATCAGAAATGATATATCAATTTAAAACTTTAAATCTCAAAATTCATCCTTTGAAACCCATTCTAAAATCAAACATTGCATTACCATGAAAATGGTACATCAATATCATGTTACAAAATGTTTTCGTTCATGAATTATAAAAATGTAAGTTTGGATCGTCCACTTTCACGTCTATGTTCAAAAATGTGAGTGACAGTTAAAGGGTTAAGTGAACAAAATTGAGGAAAATTATTTAAGGGGATCTTTATGTCACGTTTTAGGCTATAGCTACTATTGACAGACTGAAATACTGAATGTGACAATTTACAAAATGGGTCTGAAACTGTATAATATTGACTTGGGTTCATTGGATTGACTCGTATTCGGAGATGCCTTTTCTTTATTTAATTTTGTTGGACTGTAATTGTCACTAGGAGAGTATGAATGACAGCTTGACAGCTACATCTTAATTACATTTTAAAGGGAGGTAAAGTTTGCTAGGAACTTATTTGCAGCTGACAGTGAAAACTGAACAATGTAATCTAAAAAATGCAGCCCGAAACACACAAGGCAATTTGTCGTGTGCTATTTGAGGATGTGTTATCTTGTTCCTTTTTTTTTCCCCCGAATTGTGTTAATAGATACATCCTCTGGAAGGAAAAGAAAAACGTGATTGTCATGCTAATCCAGAGAGCTGTCCATCAATTTATTTATTTATATCATAGGCTATGTGTGCTTTCCTCCTGTTTTAAATTACTTTAATGCATATATCGCCATCTAGTGCACAAAGATATCAGAACAAATCTAGTGTTCGTTACGCAGCCCTTAAAGGGTGGTTTTAAAACGTTTTATATGAGAATAATAATTAGAAGAAAAAGAATAGGGCTCAAAGAAGTCTTTTTTGAATGACTTGTCCAATAATCACATGCTCAATGGTTGGGTTTTCGATTTAATAAAGAAATTTAATAACGAAACTGTTAACATTAATGTTCAATTTAAATAAATAGGTATAGCCTACGTTATTCTATAAAGTTATCCACCAAGTTATTCTAATGATTAAATAATTACAGCACACACAGACTTCGACAGAACTCTTATCTTGGCAAATATTCGCATACGGAATGATTACACAGGCGTACGACTTCCTGTGACGCACAAGATCTTTTCTACAGTGAAGAGGCTAAGTAATTCAAGCTAAAAAGGTATTTAAAATTGACTAAATGTAAGGCTCTTTTTATCAAATGTAACCTGGGGGAAGTGTGAAAAACGCACAGCGCTTGAGCTATTAAACCACATTTCGATGCTACGCGCATGCGCGGCATTCACGTTCTGCACTGTGTGTTTGAGCGTATGAAGGTTGAACTGTCAGCTAACCATAAACGAATATTCAAAATAGTTACTGAATATATTTTGCCAATACTTCACGTCTGTCCACATGCTTTTATAATCAAGCATATATTTTTGGACCTCGACTGCTTCTTTCGGGATTTTTGAAAGGGTAAGAATATACATTTTAGACCTGTTATCTGCTAACTTAGGTTTATATATAAAGCAACTTGCAGACTCTTAAATGCACGACTGTGTTTTAAAGATATTAAAATAGTATTATTTTTTATTTCCATTAAAGCATTCATAGAAATGATGAGATATTGTCATTCTATGCATTTATCTGTGTATACTCTGTTAGGTGAAGATGGCTGGTCTGTCTAGCTATGCCCTGCGCATGGCCCGTCTAAGCGCCCGGATATTTGGAGATGTGGCCCGTCACACAGACTCCAAATCCATGAAAGTGGTAGAGTTGTTTAAAGAACCCCCGCTGGCCCAGAGAAAAGAAGTGTATAACTGGTACCCCCCACACAAGATCTACTATTCAATGACTCAGAAACTCAGATTCATGGGGCTTTTCAGGTAAGCTCTGGTTATAGTGCACCTCTGAACATTTGATCTTCAAATTCTGCTGTTTGTGCAGTTAACGGTTCTTTGCTATTGTTTTAGGGATGAGCACCAGGATTTCAAGGAGGAAATGAGGCGCTTGAGAAAACTGCGGGGTAAAGGAAAACCCAAGAAGGGAGAAGGGAAGAGAGCCGCAAAGAAGAAGTAGACCAGCACATTTCATCTATTATTTATGAAAGGACATTATGAATGGAGAATCTGATGAAGAAGCTCTGTACACGAGTTGTACCTGTATGGACAACAGGACATGTTTGTGACTGTGGTGTGATATGTTCTATTAGCAGAGATGATGGTGAAACAAAAACACAAATGCTGAATTTACAATGTTGGGACATCCTCAGCATACCTCACCAACACCTCTTAGGTTTGTTTTCCTAAGACTACACTGCAAGAGCCATAAACCCTTAGGCCAAAGCTTGGGCTACATACAAGAAATAATTAATTTTAAATTGCTACATTTGTGCCAACAAATCAATACACCAGATATTGTAATGGACCCATAATGGAAATAAGTCAGTCAGGATCATGTTAGAAATTATGCATGTGTAGCAATAATTTTGATTGTGGGAGACATGCTATTCCGTAAACCTGCCTATATCCGATCATTTTTTCCCTAATATGATAAAAAGGCATCTTAAAGGGGACATATGATGCGATTTCAATTTTTCCTTTCTCTTTGGAGTGTTACAAGCTCTTGGTGCATAAAGAAGATCTGTAAAGTTGCAAAGACTAAAGTCTCAAATCCAAAGAGATATTCTTTATAAAAGTTAAGAGTCAGCCACGCCTACCTAAAATGGCTCGTTCTAACACGCCCCCACATGTCTACGTCACGATGTGGGAAGATTTGCATAACGCCGCCCAGATGTCCACGCAAAGAAAGAAGGCGTCACTTTTATTCTCGCTGTAGTATTGTTGTTGCCGCCGC